TTCTCTTTTATTCTCTGTGGTCCTTCTGCCACCAGGAAGGGTGAGGCTTGCTTGAGGTTAGCTAGAACATTCTAGGACTCTACCTTTCCCTCCTGTTAGTGCTCCAGCTCAAACCTATTGCAACCCCACCAGCCTTTTTCTCGTCCCTGGAACCTGCTGTAGCTATCCTCCCTATCCTTGTCCAGGCTTGTCCTCTGAGTTAGAATGCTTTCTTTCCTTGCACCCAGGGCTGGCATTAGAGGTATGCATTAGGACCTGACTCCCCCACCTCCTGCCCCCGCCCCCAAATCTGCAAAGGTACTCTTTCTTCTTCTTCTTGTTCATGGCCACCCCAGCCTTGCCTCTTGCCCCCTGGTTCCTGGGTCTTTCCTAGTCTCTAGGAGCATGGAAGACTGCAGCTCAGTCCCAGCCAACACACTGCTACCACCAAGAGGCCGCTCATGCCAAACATCAGGAAATCGGAAAAGCTCACCCCTTGCATTTGGAATGTCCATTCAGGAGCACTACCTAATTCTGGTAGGTTTGGGCAATGCTATGCTTACACTGCATTCCTAAACCTTTGTCAAATATGTTGCTTGGGAAAAGGAAGGCAGAAGTATCCTGAGAGACTAGGAGAACTAAACATTTGCTAAGAATTACCCACTAAGAGAATTTTAATGGAGTGTTGATAGTAGCACTGGAAATGGTGTGGTGAGGGGAAATGGACATTTGTTAAGTATCTACTATGTGAAGACACAACTCTGAGAAGGTATTGTTATCATCAGATTACAGAGGAGGAAACTGAGGCTGAGAGAGATTAATTTGCCTGGACTGTAAAAGCCAGTCTCTTTCTGTTACTTCCTGCCTCCTGTACAGGCGCTTGTTTCTGCCCATGGAGTGATGAAGGATGGGGACCCTCAGAGGGGCCAGCCCAGACCTGCTAGGGTCCAGCTGTGTGATAGATCATGCTGGTTTTGCTATTGGGTGGGTGTGAACATATAGGGTCAGGGAGTTCTCGTTACTTTGCTGTTCAGCTCAGTTCCTAATAGACACAGGATTGGAAAATTTGCTGCAGGAAGTCCTACAAAATGCTGTCAATTATTCACCCAAAGGGCAGAGTATTCAGATAGAAATAGAACTGGATGAGGAGTCAACTGGGTGGGTTTTATTCTGTCCCTACCACCGATGAGCAGGTGGACTTGAGCATGACTTCTTTAGGGCTCATGTCCTTACTGGCAACATGAGAATGAGCACATGGTGACCTCTATGGTCTGAACACTAAAGTCTTATGGAAAAAAACGTAATAAGAATTTTCTGAGTACTGGTCACCTAAAAAATATACTCACATATATTTTTATATCTATATAGTAATTTCATAAACTGGAACCAGGGAACTAGAGGTAAGTCTCTTAACTTAGGACTTGAGGAATGTATTTAGAGAAAAATTTGCTTACAGTAACACTTGAGCTAAGATGTTCTAGGTCCATTAGTCCAATCTCTTTAATTCACAGAGGCACTAAGACCTAGAAAGAGGGAGGGTCTTGTTTAAGGTTACACAAGAGCAGTTGCAGGGGAGTACCTCCCCTAGGGAGGCCTGCTGGAATGCAAGCAAAGAATGGGGGAAGAAATCCTAGTTGCTAGGAAGCAAAGCTGATGGATAAAGAAACATGGGGACAGATTGTGTTTGGGGTCTGTGGAGCACTAGGACCTGTTGCCATGGGGATGAAAAAGCTGCAAAGGTTAAGTACAGAAGGGAGGGCAAGAATGGAGTGGGCTGAGTCCTGACCTTGACGTTACCTAGTCTGTCTTTTCTCCAGTGGAAGACAGCAAAAACATACAGGTGCTTCTACCTCCAGTTATAAACTAGTCAAAGGAGAGGTACAGCAACTTACATTGATTTAGGGCTCACCTGTCCACTTTGCTAAAAGCCTAATGTTTCCATTTTGTAGGTGATCCTACTCACCTGTGGTTTGGAGGAAATCAGCATTTAAAATCTTATCCTGGGCTGGGCCACTCCCAGGGCAAGCCAGGGAGAAATGCCAGTTTGAGTAACTTGTTTTTAATCCATCTTTTCCACTTTTGGGAGATGCTCAGAAAAAAATGCCCCTACTACTGTCTCAGCCTGTTAGGTGAGTCTGACAGCAGGTGCTGATGTCTCAGCAAAGATGGAATAGAGGACTTGATTTTTCAGTGTTCATCAGGGATGGCAGTTAGGAAAAATCCTGACAGAACACTGTAGACTCAAGTGGTGGAGACTTCAGCTTCCCACATTCTAAGATCAGAGGCAGAAATTGAAAATCTGAAAGGTACTAAGAATTGAAATTGAAAATCTGAACGATACTAAGAATTAAAAGATAAAACCGAAGGAGACAAGTCCCTGAGCGTTCCAAAGAGGCAATCTCTTTAAGGGATTAAACCTGACATATTGAAAAAAGCACTTTAGAGCAGGGGTCCCCAACCCCTGGTCCATGGACTGGTACTGACTGGTCCGTGGCCTGTTGGGAACCTGGCCACATAGGAGGTGAGTGGCAGGAAAGCAAGCAAGGCTTCGTCTGTACTTGCAGTTGCTCCCCAGTGCTAACATCACCGCCTCAGCTCCACCTCAGGCATTAGATTCTCATAGGAGCACTGGTCCCTGGTGCCAAAAATGTTGGAGACTGCTGCTTTAGAGAACAAAACCTTTTAATGCAAAAGCAGCTGTTTCTAGGTGTTAGCGGGGCAAGCTGAGATCTTTCATTTACCAAGGAGCAAGTTTTGATCACTCCACATCCAGGTATATCCACTCTATATCCAGCCTCTGCTGGAGGCCTGTTTTATCTTGTCATAGGTCTATTTAGGCACCCAAGTGTGTCAACAGAGAACCACCAGAGTGCCCATACCAACAGTTAAAAAGCAGACAGCTCATTTAAAGAAATTTCTATAGGTATACTAATTTTCTTCGGTGTGAGGACTGTATTGAGATTAAGAGCCTGCTGAGATGCATGCTGACAAACGGTGATATAACACCTCACCCCTAAATGCTTTGCTCAAAATAATAAACAAACGTGGCATTTAAAATATTGAAAATGTTTATCAGTGAATCCAGATGAATATACTGTTCAAAATGTGTACTATTTGTTTTTATAAAAAAAATTATAAAGTGGGTAATTTTTTCCAGAACTTGAAATTTACAATTGGTTGAAGCAGTAAAATATCTGGCCACTAACATGCTAGGAGCTCTTCCTGGGTTCAAGCCTTCCCAAATCAAGATTCCATCACTTACCAACATATTTCTCAAAGCTATTATTTATTCTGTACAAGTTTCCACTGTACATTAGATGTTCTTCCACTCTTGCTTACACAGTAAACAAGTGTACACTAGCCCTTTGGCTCAGATTCATAAGTCTTCCCTGGAGAAGGGTGTCAGGCGAGTTAAACTTGGGGTATCTTTCTCTGATGCCTCCTCCTGGAAGCACTGGAAAGCTCCAGGCTCCAAGGGGCACACGCCAGGCCAGCTGTGTGGGTGCAAAGAGCTCCATGCACAGAGCTCTTTGCCTTGGTGCTGAACAGCTTTACTCCCTGGGACAGCACAGAATTTTGCTCAGCTACTTAGGGCAAATTGTGCCCATGAGGCAAGATGTCTCAAAAACACTCAGGCTCCAGCTTCCAGGGCTGAAGACTGGTATCAAGGAGAGCTGAGGGGTAGCACGGGCATCCCTGAGAAACTGGGTCCAAAGGGCCTGTGTCTAGGAGGCTCTGAGAAGGTGCGGGTGGGGGAAGGAAAGTCAGGGGAAAAAAGCATATTGAGGGAATAAATTAAAGGTGAGAGAAGCTCTAGGAATGAGGGGCTTGTGCTAGCCTTCAAACAGCTGGGGAGCAGACCAGGGGTGGGTTAGAGGAAGTGGTCAGGAAAAACTTGATACACTATCCTAAGAAATCTCCTTTTACCTACTCTCCTTCTCATCTCACTGCAATGCAAACAAGCCAGGGGCTAAGGGCACAACCCCGATCTCCCACAGCCAGTTTGAACATGGCACTGGGGAAAAGGGAAGAGGCTGAGGGATATTTCAGAGAGGGGCAGTTAACCCCTGGTCCCCAAATACTATAAGGCACAATTCTTAGAGGCAACTAGATTCCATCTGAAACACTGAAAAAACCCTAAAAACCGAAAACCAAGAACTCGTTAGATCCCAGGTCTACTGTGGCTGTGCTGGAGGCCTGGACGACACCAACCCAGCACCACTGAGGGCCAGCATTAGAAAAGTTGCATTTGAAGAATTAAAAAAAAAATGACCAGCACAATGTCCCAGCGGTGAAGAGGTGTGAAGGAGAGCATCTCCAGTCTGAAAACTTTAGTTATGGTAATTAAAAAAAAAAAAAAGTTGGGCTTTTAAAAACCAAAAACAGCTTTTTTCAAAGATGTCCCCTGGTCTGTCCCCCTGGAGTTAGCAGCGTTAAGAAGGCTCTTGGCTCATGAGTGTTTGTCTTGCTTCTGGACCAGTGAACAACGTCCAGGTGAAGATGGGGCGCCAGGCTCAGGCGCAGGAGCTTCCAGGCAGAGATCCTCCCAGCAGGCTCCAGAGGGCGCTGTCTTCTCAGGAGGAGCAGGGGCTGGAGCCCGCTGCAAGTGGATGAAGATCCTCTCCCCACAGTCCGCTGTTTATTACACTCAGGAAAAAAACCACAAGCTTAAAAATGCAAACAAGAGAAGCTGAGGGGGCACTGTGCTGGCTCTGGTCTCCATGTCCTGTTGATCTTGCATGACAGGTGTAGCTCAGGAGCACCTGGCTCCCCACTTCAGACCCTGACCAGGCTGCAGCAACTCCTGCTCGGCAGCTTTAGTTTACTTTATTTTTCTCTTGTCAGGTTGTTTTTTTTTTTT